CCAAGTCTGTCCACTGTCGCTTGTTATTCCAGTGCGCTTCTGCCAGAGGACATTGACACTAGAGTTCACGTACTACATTCTTTTGCAAATAAACAGAACAGAGGCCCTGTCCTGGAGCTTAGAGGGGTGGTACAGCGGGAGCCTCAGATACGACACAACCCCAACACTATCCGAAACACAGTCCTCACCTCAGGCACCAAGCAGCAGCCCAGGAGCGGAGAGTGAACTAGATCAGAGTGAGAGGAGTGGAGTGGCGGGCAGGGCCAGAGAGGGGCCGCCGCTCGCCAAACGCGCTAAGCGGTGACGGGATGCGATGTAACATCATCCATAACCGGCGGACGGCACGGCTCAGCAGCAGGCTCAGCTGGCCGGTCCAACGTCCAGCCAGCGCAGCTCAGCGCGCGGGGCCCTATCATCGTCCAGCTCGGCGGCCTTGACAGGGCCGTGCAGCGCACTGCAGCAGGCTGCACCGATCGCGTCAATGGCGTGCAGCAGCCTCTCCCATCGGACCAAGGTGCATCGCCCATTCACTACAATTTGGCAGCGATCGACAACAAGACGGGCAAGGTTAAGGCCGCCTATCGCATCTCTTCGGAACTCTGTGACTCACACTGGATTCGGGCTACACACCTCGACGGACGGCGGGCGGAGAAGTGACAAAGAATCAGAGGCTGCCCCTGTCCCGCTCTTCTTCAGCGAGAAGAAATAGCGCTTCTTTCGACCGGCATCAACGGTGTGACATATCGCGGCTGCTGGCTAGCTGCTTCTCAGCTGTTCTGTTATTGTTTACGTGACGTGCCGTTGACCCCCCACAGGGCTGCCAACGTGACATGCGAAACAGCAGAAAGGTTGGTCACACTGTCGCGTGGCAAAGTATTTGAACGGGAGCGCAGCGACGTGCGGTGCGGTGCTGCGGTGCCCCCGTCGAACCGAAACAATGTCCGCGTTTGCGTGATAGTGTGAGTGCGCAAAGTGCGGCGGGGCGGCCCCGGACTGTACACGCCGAGCAGCCGGGGCGGGGAGCAGTGGGAGCAGTGGCGATACGGCGAAAAGGGGAAGGGGGGATGATAGAACCACAGCTTGCGGGGGGCCCGGGCGCAAGTCCGCTCACATCACATCACACACCACACCGCCCCCCTCCCCCTCCCCTTTTCTGACTTACGCCTCACTATGTAGTTCTCCGGCCCCGGCCCTACCGAGGCGTCCAGGGCCGAAAATTTATGCGGCCATTAGTCACGGAGTTGCGAGTGCACTCGTCAGTGCTGCACTTGCAGGGCGTCGGTGGTACACGGGTGGGGCTGGCGTGGGGCGCGTACAACACAGCACCTGGCCGCTGCAACATTTTTTTTTACTGGTCAGGTGGTATATTAATTTATTTTCTCTTTTTTGGAGGGGCCATAGCCATTCGTCTCACATCTCTTGCTGCAAGGGGCGCGACGAGGATGGGTTCGCAGCAGCGCGTTGCGCCCGAGCAGACGCACATCAATAACGGAGCCCGGCAAGGAGAACGCCGCCGCGCCTCTGCAATGAAAAAGAAAAACTCACGCGGTTTGCCTCTGCTTTGCTGCTTTTTGTAGAAAACCTGCTCGCTGCCGCACCAGGAGGGGGTTGGGGGGAATGGGGGCGTTCAGCGCCAACTGTCAGTGCTTTACGGACGACCCCCGCGCGAAGCGAGGCGCGATATCACGGCCTTGGCTCACATGGGAGGTGTTCGAATACGTCGGGGCCCACGAGGGAGAGCGAGAGAGCGGGAGGTGGAGAGGGGCAGAGAGCCAGGGCAGAGCCAGGGCAGAGCGTGGCGCCGCCAATTTTTTCGAACGCTGCCATCATGGTCAGCCCGTCGCGTCCCGCCCGCCTCTGCTCTATCTGCCCGCGCGCCGCCGCACCGCTCAGCCGCCCCACTCATCGCGCCTATTTATTATTATTATTTTTTTGTGTCGGTAATTGCAATAATACGATAACTCGATCGCGCGGAGAGAACCTCATCTCTGAACTATAAAGTGCACGGCGCGCAACCTTGGCAGTCGGCAAGAGAGCGACCGCGGAAATATATAACGGGGCTGCACTTGCGAGAGTCGCGGGGGCCGCCGGCGAGCAGAGGCATCTGCAGACGCAGCACTCTGCCCCGCGCACCTGGGCTTGCGCCTTAAACTGTGGCCGCTGTGACACCACAATAATTCCCTTTATTGTTGTTCCTTTTATTTACAGGCGGCTGCCTCGCGGAGCAGGCTGTCAAAGACGGCGTCCTCCTCCTGGACACTGCTGGGACGAGACTCCCTACTTTGCACCAGCCGACTGACCAACGACAAAGAGAGGGGCCGTTCCACTCGAGGCAGCGCAGGGCGACGCCAGCTCCGCCAGCTGAGCACCAGAGCGCACCCGGCACGGCGGCGGGCCACCTCCCCTTCTCTCTCTTTCTCTCTCGCTCTCATTACCAAAGCAGAGCAATCTGGTCCGTCTCGTCCAGGAATCTGGACGGTCTGGCTGGACAGGGGGGCCGCGGCGGGGCAGCCGACGGCAGGTCAGTGCTGCCAACCACCGCACAGCCTGTTAATCGTTATGTAAGTTGGTAGCACTGCGGCTAATCATCTCGTCAGCTGGTCGGCAGCAGCAGAACAGCAGCAGCAACAGCAGGAGCAGCAGCAACAGCAGGAGGCAATCGGGCCGAGGAAACTTGAAACTTAACTTTGCTCGTCTTGAAGCTGTGCAGGTCCCTTCTTCCAAGAGTATCAAGGCGGGCACAGAAAAAGTAAGGCCAGTCCGCATCGTTCGCATCACACATAAAACCTACCCCAATAAGTATCCGTCCTCGTCCCCGCCCCGTGGTCCTGTCTATCACGTTTCGGTCTGAACCGAAATACCTAACCTTACCTAACCTATCCTGTAGGACTCTCACTCGTCCATTTCCCTCCCTAAAACTAGTGTCCCCGTAACCAGAGCAGCTACACCAGCTGTCGACCAGGATGCCGCGGCGTAGAGATAAGCCCGAGCGACGGGAATAGATTGAAAGCAGAAACCTCTCATCTCTTTTCCCTCGTTTCCTCCCAGGAGGATGCTGTGACGAAACCCTTGCCCCCCTTCAGGCGGATTGTAGCAAAACTCTGCGTACTCACAAGACACAAGGCAGGGTGTTAAAAAAAAAATCATAAAAAGGGGATGATATCCCATTGCCCATCTCCTCACCTGGGTGCAGGCCGAATCTTACCCCTTCTTTCCTTACTTCTTTTACTCAGCACAGAGCGCAACATACTCCACAATAAGAATTGGAATTCCCTAGCGGGGAAAAACGCGTTTGCTGCGTGGTACAACCCCTCTCGCCGGCCTCCCCGCCCCCCGGCCCCGCCCCGCCCTGCCCTGCCCCGCTCTGCCCCGCTCTGCACTACCCGCCCTGCCCTGCCGCCGGCCAACGCCACGACGGCATTGGGTCACACCTCGCGGATAACGGGAGTGATGGGCCAGGCGTGAAAGGGCGCCACACTGCCAGCCCGCGGCACTGCGGGGCACCACGTTAAAAATAGTAACTTCAGCCTCGAGGAAACTAAGAGTGACTGATGCCCAGAACGGACAAACACACACGCGCAATACGCGGAGTGTGTGCCGAGATTGGCACAAAGATAAGCGTTTTATGAACCATATCGCATTTGTGATATGAGAACAAAACAATTGAGTAATAAAAGAGTCACCCGTGACTAGAGTGCTGGGTGCATTCGGGGTCATCCAGAAAGTGCTTGCTTCCGTCATCTGTCATCATATTTGCCGTGGCAAAATTGCCGCCAAGTTCAGCCAACGCAAGCTCTCGAAGCGCCTGGTGGGTAGGCAACATCTCGCCTGCAGCGCATGCGTGTACAGCGGGGTGGCCTACCCCGAGTCTCGCAGGCGCCGACCCCGCGTGCCGAGTGAATCTGAGAATAAGCGGACGTACTTTGTGGACGGGCCCCTGCACTGGAGTAGAACGGGTACTACTAGATATTGTTTACGTGACGTGCCGTTGACCCCCCACAGGGCTGCCAACGTGACATGCGAAACAGCAGAAAGGTTGGTCATACTGTCGCGTGGCGAAGTATTTGAACGGGAGCGCAGCGACGTGCGGTGCTGCGGTGCCCCCGTCGAACCGAAACAATGTCCGCGTTTGCGTGATAGTGTGAGTGCGCAAAGTGCGGCGGTGCGGCCCCCGGGCACCACTGTACACGCCGAGCAGTGCGGAGCAGTGGCGATACGGCGAAAAGGGGAAGGGGGATGATAGAACCACAGCTTGCGGGGGGCCCGGGCGCAAGTCCGCTCACATCACACAC